TTATTTTTTATTTCACAAGTCTAAACCCTCTTCCCGCTTCTCAATTGCCTTGAAATTAAACTGCAAGTTTCAGGAACATCTAAATAGATTTCCTTCTGTTTTCCTAAGAAATAGAATCTTATAATAAACAAAAATACAGGAGGGCAAAAGGACATTTTGAGTAATATTTTAACCAAAACATGTTTTTCCTATAAAAATATTATGATGTCCTTCAAATATATAAAACATAGCACAGGAATACTGTGAAGAAGCCTGAAACCTCTGAAGATATGAATGCACTTTTATAAATACTACAAAAATATGTTTGTCTTATTTTTCACAGTTATTATGTCAATATTTAAGCTCTCTGGTGCTTCATAATTTACATGCAACAAGTTGCTTTGCACAAAAGTCATACCCAGTAAGGGCAGAAAGTTCTTCCTGAAATAAACAGCAAATACGCACTGACTTCTGGAAAGATGGAAGTAAGTCCTCTATATTTCGGTATGCGGAGGATATGAGGGTACTAAACAGAAGAACATGCTCACTTTTCTCACAACCATTCTCAGGAAACTAAGTAGTATTATTCTTTTGGATAAAGGCAGGAGCATTTGACTCACAAAAAGAGAATTTGGAGTTGTATGAGAAAAAGTTCCAGAGACTTCAAGAAAAAGGATGCCAGGTCAAACGGTTCAAGTGGAGAAACTTGGGATGAAGGCTCCTCATTTCTGTCATAATCAAAAAGACCTAGTTCCAGAATCAATCAAGCGAGTACATAACCAGACAAAACATTTTGCCTATGCAAAAGCCATCTTTGCAGGCTCAGTTTCTCCTTGTTGTCTATTTCAATTATATAAGACAAAGACAATATCAACATTTAAAAAGGCGTAATTTAAAGATAAAATCTAGTTTATGCATGGTATGATCGACACAGATAACAGATGCTACAGGCACATTTGTATGAAAAGTCATAATGATATTCCCTGAAGTCCTGAATAATACTATTATCACTGGCAAAGTGTTTATTTCCGTTTCCAGTGATGTCAGTAAGAACTCTGCCTGAGTGAGTGTGCATATACACATTTCTAGCTAGACTGCACAGGTACATGTACCTATCACAAAAAAAATCCCATATAATCCATGTTTGTTTCATGAAGAAAAAATACAATGTAAGTATCTTGCAATTGCCTTCTACTTTTTATCTCCAAGAATGTTACTGTTCAAACTTGTGTATTTTAATTTTTTTTGGTGACTTCCCCATTCTAAAGCCAGCTAGCACTTCACAAATACAAATTGGCACACCTTAGTGAAATTAAAGTTTTCTAAACTCTGTAATTATTACTGTACCAATTACTTACAACTGCCTGTATATAGTCAAAATAACATTGGAAAACCAGATAGAAAACAGGAACATGGAAAGCCAGATGTTTCTACTTGCTGCCTTAGCAACTAAAAAGTGAGAAAACTAAGGCTGGGTATCCAACTCTTTCTAGACCTTTGTAAGGAGCATTGTTTCTGACAGTAGTGTATTTTTATTTATAATAGTTACAGACAATTGGTATAGAGTACACAAATATTTCTCAAAAGTATTATATGTAATGACAATACTTAAAGAATACCAAGGCTACTTCTTCAATTACGTAAGTATTAAATGCTTTTTCCGTTGCACAATGGTTTTTCTGCAGCATAAACACACATTACTGTAAGACAACCACATTAAAGTGGTCTTTAAAGTGACACTAAAGTCACTCATCTAAAATAAAAAACTTTCTACCCACAAAGAAAATAATCTTTGGCTGGTAAACAGTACATAAACATTATAGTTTCATAGAAATCTTCACATTTAAACTTGGAAATGTCTAAACAGGAACTCATTAACTAGCTTATCACTTGTGCTATGAGATAACCTAATCACCTAAGAAGATTTACAAAAGGGACTTACGGATCCTCCAGTTGATGTATGGGTGATGTGCATTTACTCATACATGAGAGGCTAGGAATTTTTTTGATGCTTTGAAAGCAGAACAAATTTATCTCTAATGGCTTGTACACTCATAAGGGTTGTACAAAACTTTCAGAATGCATTGAAATACTGTATTTTTTCCAATCTCTAATGAAAAAAATAAACAGATAAATCCATATTATATACTATTCACCCTTGTATAAGGAACGATGAAAGTCATCACATGATGTTTCTACTTCGTAATATATAGCAAAAAAAAAGACATATAAAAAAAAGGCGGAAAACTGCTGCTTTGTTTCACTGTTTATGATGTGTTAAGAGACATTTTCATACCAGCATAGTTCCAGTCAAACACATGCAGATGAACGTTTTTTTAAGCAGGTGCCTAAGATCAGATGTCTACTCCACATTTGTTTACTTGGCTCCTCCTGATATGTAAAAGCTATTGAAGAGTTTTCTATCTTATTTGCTTATTCACAAGCAAGAGCCACTTAACAACTTAAGAACTAGAGAGACAATGAAGAGATTAGCACTCAGGAAGAAAAACCTAAATGGCTGAGAGAAACTTTTAGACACTTGTTGAAAAATCTTTAATTGTTTCACTTTATCTTTATAATCTATTTAGTTCACACCTGTACAAAACAATCTAGAGGAAAATGCTCTGTTTAAAAAAGGCACCATTCTGCTTCTTCAATTAAGAGTACGAGACTAAAACAGGATCTCTATACTCAGAATTAATACAATCTAATAATAAAAGTAGCTTTACTGAATACAATGTTATAGATCAGAAGTATTTTCCCTATCATTAGTGACTGAAAATTGTAAGGCTTAAATTGTCAGTTCAAACCATCATCCAAAACCTAGAAGCAGCTTTATTATGTTAGGCACTTCACTCAGATATATAGTACAATACGGATTTGGCCTGGAGGAAAGCTTATAAAATTGCCCTTATAAAACTGTGACCACAAAATGGTGCTACTGATTAAATTTAATTTAATAAATCTGTCTTGGAGCCATATATCTTTTGGGGTGAAAAAAAACCTATCTTCTCTCAAGATTATTTTAAAGTTGTAATTTGGTAGTCATACTCAAAAAGCATGCTATAGTATAAACTTTCGGACAATTTTAAGTCACAATGTAACTGCAATTAGTAAACAAAAATTAATTAACAGCACCATTTTTATTTTATTACAAGGGTACATAGTGAAGCTTAATGCAATAATTTTTTTAAAGGTGTTTTTAGGTCTTCCTGTGTATGACATTACTATAAATAATAGTAATATCTAGCTTTTATATAACGCTTTTTAGTAGTAGCTTTCAAATGACTCAAATAGGGTTAGTTTAGAGAAATGTAAAATAATACTGGGAACTATTGTTCATTTAAATCCCTCACAGTTATGATACAAAAAATGGGGGGAAAAAATAATCTTTTTCTTCTTTCGCCTATTTCAATTTCCTGTATGAATAAAACCGCCTTTAACAGAAATTCCTTGTAACACACTACAATCATGTGATATATTATTCATTGCAGTTTTTTCTCTAATCAAAACACCTATAAAATGGTGAACAGTGCTTCTAAAAACAGTGAACAATAACAGAAGAAAAATCATTATAACAACTTGATGACTGTCATAGAAAGTGAGGAGTAACAACCGCCTTGTCCACTACTGCTTTGAGATTCCACCCTAATACCAACAGAAGTGGTTAGACATTTCTAAATAAACTCTTTCATTTTCTTTTGGGTTTTTTCTTCTGCCAAATGCCATATATTTACAAGTAGGAAAAACTGCCCTTAGACAAAATTATTTTCTGACCGTAATACTGCATGCAGCTATAACTTGCAAAGCACAATAAGGTTTATAGCTTTGTGTTCACTGATCAAAATGCCTTCTTCACAAAGAAAACAACATGCCCATTTCACGTAAGTTCTGTTTAAAAACCTGCCTTAGCTTCCACAGAAACTGTATTTTCATAGCTAAGCCACAATGCAGTCTCATTTTAAGATTATTTTCCATCTAAAAGTACATCAGTTTCCATATTTTCTTTCACTGAGAGCTAAAACCACTCATAACACAAATTTTTTTAATTTCCAGGAAAAAATATATCCTTCAAACTACAAATTACTGCATTAAGGAACAATGTCAAAAGACATGTGTACTTCAAGTACGATGCAAAAGGTTATCACCAGGTCCTCTTCTACTGAACTTCTAGAGAGTAACTTGAAAGACTTGGGGAGTTTAACATAAGGCAATTAGATCAGTTTATAACGTTTGTTCATGTTCTTAGTGTATTTCAGACACATCTATTCATTATACACATCTTTAAGCTCCAGGCACCTTGGGAGAAATACGCTTTTTTCATAGTTAAGCTACCTGGACACATGTTTCTTGTGTAAACCTCATGACATTATTAGTCATCTGGGTGGGTTTCAGATGACCACAGGCACAGTGCTGCACAGTCTAATTCACACAGCAAAAACCAGCTGGTCATCCATCTCCTTCTCCCTACACATGCACACAGGCCTGTGCATCTGCAAACTGTCATCGAGTCTGGTAACTTTTTCAGGAATTTATTTGTGAGGGGAGGAAGGCTGGCAATGGTTTGTTGTGCAGCACCATGAACACCTGGAATACAATCAGTAGTACCACTTAAGAGTAATCTGGAAGAAACTGTATTCTTCTAGGAGTAAAAACTGAATACAGAAGGAGTCATATCTTTGCTGCTCATTAAACAAACAAATAATTGTTTAAATCCCTGACTCAAGGCACAAGTCATCTGTGTTAGCCTCTCTAAAATGATTGGTTCAAGAGTTTATCTTAAGTGAAACAACAGGTCAAGTTGATTCTACTGTTTCTGTGTAAGAGAAGCTATTTAACTACATACAGCATCTAGAGAGTTAATTAACCTAATCTTCTTACCAACCGTCTCTTAGAATGAAATGACCACATAAGGTCTTTAGCAAAGAACAAATCCCAGGGAATTAAGTCTTGAACTCATAATGCATTAGAAATAGAACAGCTTCCCTTCCCACTGCCCACATTCAATGAATTTTACTCACCCTCTGAGTGATGCCTTTTCCCTCTTTGACTCGCACTGCCAAACCAAGATCAGACAGTCTGCAATTACCGTGATCATCCAGGAGGACATTTTCTGGTTTCATGTCCCGGTACACAATCTTGATGGAATGGAGATGCAGAATCCCACAGGTGATCTGAGCTGAGTAATAGATGACCCTGTTAATTTCCAAACCCCTTTCTCCCACATTGTAGATGTGATACTTCAGATCCCCTCCATTCATGAGGCTCATGACAAGACACAGATGGCTTTTGCTCTCATAGGCATAAGCTAGTGTGACTATGAAAGGGCTGTTGACCTTCTCCAAGATCTCTTTCTCCAGTAGAGCCATCTTCTCTCCACCTTTCTTTTTCAACCTTTTCTTATCCAGTTTCTTGCAGGCATACATCTTACCAGTATTTTTCACCTGGATGGCACAAACCTAGAGAAGCAAGATGCATGAGGAAAGGTAACAAAGGAATTTTAAACATACAGACTGGAATATCAAGGGCAGCAATAGGCAGGAACTGGGGGATCACAGATGTCTATTAGTAGCTGCTGATGCTAACTTCCACGGCAGAGTATACGAGCAGAGAAAATAAGGAAAAAACAAGTGTACAATCCATTCTCTTCCAGACCAGTATATAGCAGACCTTATGCAAAGTTCTTGAGGACACCATTAGTAGACATGTATTAGCAAATAAAATGAACAAGGACTCACTCTCTGACCATAAGAATAGCATATCCAACTTGCATCTGTACAGCTAAACTCTCTTCCAGCTCAAAAAAAGGTAGCCTTATTCATACAGTGTTTTGGGAACAAATCCTGGTCTGTGCTATACCCTAAACTGAACCTAGGAATTATCTGGGAGTCTGTGACCTAGCACAGGCTAAAACGGTGCCAAGGAACAGACTAATAACTAACTATATGGACAGTCATGCGAGCTTTTGTAAAGAAGCCGGATTTTTTACTAGCATAGATACAGAATATAAAAACTTTAAGAGTAGCTCTTCACTAACAGGCACCTGGAGCCTGTATCACAGTACAGATAACCAACCCAGCCTAATTTCTGGGAAATGGACAATTTCAAGGAGCAAGTTTTGCAAAACTTTAGACAATTTGTTAATCCACTGCCATGTTCCTCTTTGCAAACCCACCTGCTAATCATGAAAGAGGAGGGATGACCCACATCCTTAGAAATACAGATCTTACCTCTCCAAAGCCACCTTTGCCCAGCACTCGAAACTCATAGAAGTATTTCTCAGTTACTGGCTGCTTCTCGAAAACTTTCCATTGGAGGAACTTGTCATAGAACGGGCTGGTCTGGAAGTCCTGGAAGGGCTTGCCTTTAAGGAAAAGTTTGGTTTCCTCCTTGGCCAGCTGCACGACATTCTCATAGTCTTTTGCAGTAGCTGCCTGGCATTTGCTGGCCAAGTCAGAGCTCAGGAAAGCCAGATAGTTTTTGGAGCCTGCCTTAAGAAAATTGGTGATCATATTCTCCATGGTACTGCTCTTGACATTGTCCTCTGCCAACTCCCACTTGGACACCTCATCCAGGAAGTCCCTAACTACCAAATACTCTGGCATTGTCTCTAAGAAGTCTCTGAAGAATTTCTTGCCAATGGGCTGCTGCTCACAGATGCTGTCATAATCAGCAACAATGGACAGTCTAACCTCTCCGCATTGATCAATCTTGGGCAGTGAGAGGCTCCTACGTCTCTTTTGTATCTCCTTGGTGTCTCCATCTCCACTCTTCCTTGCCTGCAGATAGGCTGTGTTGGCAATCAGGTTGTCAAGCCCCCCCATGTCACACATCTTGGCAAGCTCTTGGGATGGCAGAGCCTGGTTGAGACAAAATGAGTAACTGGCCCAAGTGCTGTGCTGTAGCTGCCCTGCACTTCTCCCTGCTAGTGGTGTGTGTGGGCTTCTGAAAAACACCAGAGAGACTGCTTTTGCATTAAATACCTCTCAAGGATTTTCACTAAGTATCTTTAGGTATATGCGCCATTTGTGGAAAGTGACTGGTAAGAGGTTTCTCTGTAAGGAGCTTTGAGTTTGCTATGTATAGCTGAGGGACGACATCCTAGGCAAACCGTCCCACTGGCAGCACCAAACACACGCAGTTCAGCTGGTGTTTTTCAGAATGGGCCCCGATAACCTTTAAATGTACCAAGATTCCCTCTACACACACTGTCCCTAGCTGCTGAGCACATGCAGAGACTTCTGTCTGCAATACATGCACACTCCACTGTGGCACTCTGGCCACAGTTAATAGGACAGCCTTGTATCTCCCTCGCTCAACACAGAGAATACCAACGTACTAAGAATTACATAAGTTGGGACCTGGTTTTATAAAAAGCTTTTATCACAAATCTGCCATGCCTGAAACATAAGTTGACATAGATGAACACGAGTCATTGAGCTTTAAATTATCACACAATTCAGTGCTTTGAGCATCCACACTTCCGAAACTCAAGTTGTACTCAACATCAATGACTCAGAGTTCCACAGATACTTCACACAAACCTTGATGCCTCATGTGGCTCTGCCTGAGCAGATTACATAGAGAGGCTAAGACCTGCTGCTGGTCTAAAAATAATGATCCCTATATACGAAACAACATATAGTTCTGACTTCATCTCCTACCCACAGAAAAAGACAACACACCTCAAATGACCAGCCAAATCTTGCCAAGACACTTCTGGATGTTATTGTGGCCTCAGTTTATTTTCCCTGATGAGCTTTATGACAGTAAGTGGCAGGATGAGAAGGTGGCAACAGCGTATGGCTGAGGGGGCACCATCAATGGGACAAAGCTGATTATAATCAGGTGAAGGCAAATTCCATCTGACTTCGCTCACTGGCTTTCTACTAGAAACCTGTGTCCCATTTTTTTCCCCAAAAGAATAACAATCATGTAGGGCACTTACTAGGCTAAGCCCCCTTCTGCTGTGGGGCCATGTGATTTTGCTGCTAAAATTTTCCTTAGATATAAGGAAGGTATCGTGGGAACAGGAAAAACTTCCATGATTCTTCCAGTAGCTTCTTCAGTAGATTCTTCCAGTACGGTCAAGCTGTACTCTTGAGGTCAAGGTCAAGTTTCCTCTTCTCTTTTTTCACTCTTGGAGCAAGTTGAAGAGCTGAATCATAAACACTAAACATGAGGAGTAACAACAGGCACCTCAGACTCCCTACAGTAAGTGCTAAGCCGTTCTTGGCTGCTTTTTGTCACTCTACAACTACGTAGTATTTTGTTTTTACATGCTTAATCCTGTCTGCATTGAATCCATTTGACATTCAACTCATGCTTATATTCTACAAAACTCCATTAGAGGTGTGTTTTTCTAGCTGTGATTGAGAGGGCCATCCATTGCAAACTGCTGTGTGCGCACGAGAACACGGCGTACTCTAAAGCAGAGTATTTGAAAGCCTTGCTTCTACAGCAATCGCTAGTTCTGCCAGGTGAATGCAAGCATGGGGCAGGAGAAAGCTACATAAAGTGCTAAATAATGCAGCCAGCAGAGTAAGCAAAACTGAAAAAAGCCAAAGCAAAAAATATAGAATTCTGCTGGTGGCTTTCCTGAAAATGGTGTCCACAGCAACATATTCCTATAATATCCTGAGTATAGAAAAGCAAGAAAGGAGGTAATAAAATTTCAGGTCCTAAAATTCAGCAGGGTATTTTCTACAGTTAACAAGAATGCCACCACAGCTCAAACAGTAGCAGTACGAATGGCTGGTAGCTGGGGACCTAAGGGTGAACTCAACCTTACACCAGCTATTGATATCTTCATGTCTAAGTAAATCAGAGAAAATACGTAATGCTTAAGATATCTACGTAAGAAAGACACATTCACAGCTCCAAAAATCATTCTGCTCTGTTAATTAAAATCTTTCCTGATTTCTATGCAACATAAACTTTCTCTGAAAGAACGTAACTTCATAAAAAGCAAAGTGAAACAATACGATCTTTGGACACATATTCATTACTCCAGTCACTTTTAAGAGAAGACTTTAGCTAGATTTGCTGAATTATCTCAATCTACCCATCATTTATTAAAAAGTGGAGAAATATAGATCAGCATTAATATATTAGTCGATAATGGCTATTTAAGTTAGTGTTACCTCCTCACAGAACAGTGTGTTTGGGTGAGAAGCAAAACTGATTTACCTTGCATGTACAAGAGCTGAACAAATTCAGCACTAAAAATGGGTACTTATTAAGAACAATGCTAATGGAGTATCAGGGTATGATTTGGAACAGAAGAAAATTTCCCTGGTGGAAAGCTCATACAAAGGCTGGGACTGAAGCTAATCTTCTCTAAATAACAGAGAAAACATGCAGGACTTAGAATTCATTATCTTATATTCTAGTTGAACCTCTAACTACTGGTCAACAAGATACTTACAATACACAAACAGATATACACCAGTATCAGCAGCTTTGATTTCAACATTAACTTTCCTAATACCTCATTTGTGTTAACACCTGTTTGAGCCGACACTTTGGAAAACTTTTCTATAATTGTAATTCTCAGCTACTCTTGCCATGCACGTGACGTGAACTGAAAGCAGGGTGAAAATTACTTTGGTACTTTCCATATTCACCCATAAGCCAAAGCAAAATCAAGAAAAGTCCTCTGATTGGACTAGATGGAATTAATAGAGGTTAGAGGATGGAGCCTGGGACCAAATTCCTACAGAGAAAATGGGTATTAGATAAGATGTAGTTTAACTTTGACAGCTAAAAAGTATTTTCACATCCAACTGGATTTTCTTTTGCAATTGTTTCAGGAAGAATCCTTTTACACACACAAAAAAATTCCACAACAATGTAAATGCTACAGGCACTTCATTACTACTGTTAAAATTGAAAACAAATATAAAATAGGTTAAGACAGACATCACCTGAGATAATTACAACCAATGTGATACACTGTAACAGTGACACAGAGGATTTTTCTTATCTCAGTGTGTAATGAGACAAAAGCTACATTTAAAAAATTCAAAACATTTTAAAAACAAGATTACAAGTATTAAACAAAGACACAGTAAGCTCTGCATGTATGCTTGATGACACAAAGATGCCATTGGAAGCACTTTATACAGGGAAGATAAACCTCTTTAAATATGCTTAAGATAAACAGAACTAGATAGAAATACATCTGCTGAGAAATGCATTAATCTTAAACATTTAAAATGGTAATTTTGAAGTAAACTATGATATGCATATAATATTGCTTCAATTTCACCCAGGATTATTAACCATTTTATTAACCCTGAATTTGTTACAGACTTAAAGCAGTAATTCAACCTATTACATTTATTAAAAAAACCCAACAAACCCACAGCATATGTTCAGATTAATAGTAATTACTTTGGATATTTAGGGAAAAGACAAAGTCAGAGGCAAGCACTTAAACATTTGTAAGAAAAAAAAAAAGTCACAATTCATATAAAAAGATGATATATTGAGGATTTTGATGAAAATGAAGCAATGCTTTCTCCCACTTCCAAAACATTATAACCAATAAAATGATGATAAATGTCTCTTAACTGAATTTTCATGAAACCACAATTAAAAATTTTCCCTAGATTTAATTAGTACCTGCTTTCCTTGGGATATTTAAATTTTCAGTTTTGTTTGCTTTCTGTATTAGTCTGCTAACCAGCAAGATTGTTTATGCCCCTAGTTAACTGGTGCCAAACACATGTCTTTATACCAAAAGTCTCTGGATTAAAGAGACATGTATCCATGATCTTTAACAGAAATATAAATTTAAAAAAACCCCAATTATTAATATGGTTAAATTTTAATACTGTGGATGTAGAAATCATGTATAGCATACAATACAGCAACAGACTTAGAGATACAACAAAATAAATTTTCTAAAGCTAAAAAATCCTAAATTAGAAATATTTAGTATAGTGTGATGGAAAAAGCACATAACAAATGCTTTACATGCTATTCACTTTAGATTAAAAAACCAGAATACCTTCTAGAAAAACTCAACAACTGTGTTTTTATATACAATATTCCTTAGAAAACAAATTTCTTTATCCTGACAGTAAACTATGCAGCGTATCAGACTTACAGGTAAGGTTGCCCTTTCAAATTAATTAATTTATCTATGCAAAGCATTAAGTAAACTGTATTTGGGGTATAATCTGCACCACCACGTTTCTATGTTCTGATACAGTTTTAACACAAATCATAACAGATACCTTTGTTAATGTAGTGTGTGTCTTTTTTTAATTATGGACATCTCTGCAGCAAGACTGACCACTGCCTCCTTGTACAGCAAAATGCATACAACAAAACCACACTGATCTTGTAGCAGATAAACTAAATAAATCATGCCACGATTGACATGCTCCATTCTTTTATATGAGCATATGGCATAAGACATACACTATTTCAACAAGTTCAACAAAAAAAAAAACTTCCAGTGTTTTTATTTGCCTATTCTCTGGACTACCCAGTCCTGCTGGCAGAGGGGACAGCGATTATTCTGTTTCACCCACAAGGACATGCAGCAATTGTGGAAGGAATGATTGCATTCTCCCCAAACCACTGAAAGAGAAGAAAGAACATGTTCCAGTCACACTCAACTGTCCAATGAACACCTACAGCAAGGTCCAAGCTATCATTCTCAGATCTTTATAAGCACTGCAAGCTTTAGACAAAATGGGTCATCACTAGTTTATCCACTGCGATTGGGTTGCTATGGTCGTTCTGACGATAGTCAGTCTCTGTCATCAATCATTTTACTTAGTTCCAATTAAGAAAAAAGAAATGCATATAGTCTCACCTTCTTCTATAAAGTAGCACAGTTTTGTGAAATGTATGAGCATATTTATCAGTTCTGTCCAGGAAATAAACACAACTATCTAAGCTCTTCACTTTATCCTCCCCAGTACCAAAATATAGCCAATGCACTACTGACCGACTGTAACACAAGGGCCTATCACCAAATTCTCATCTGAAATGCAGTGTTTAAACTTAAATGTATGATATCAAGGAGACACATTTGACACAGTATATAGCCTCAAAACGGGATCTTAGACCAGAAGTTATACACAGCCTCCAATTGTTTCAACACAACAAACAGGGTCATCTATTGTCCATCTACTCCTGCATAGTATTAGTTACTTTGCTTCTTTCCCCGTATTAGTTTACATTTTCCCCATTGGAATACAATGGTACTAATCAAAGGAGTGTTGTAAATTATGCTTTTTTTTCCTCTCTCTATCTTAAATAGAACACTTAGCAAGCCAATTAAGATATCTGGAACAGGAAATTCCAGTTCTCATTAAAACAATCATCAAAAACAACAGTGGATTAAGTTTGAGACAATATATTTCAAAACAGAAAGAACAAGGGCACGGAAAGGTTTACCACTGGTTTAAAAGTTGACTTAATGGTTTAAAGCAAACTCTTTGAGATATATTTAAATTGTAAATAGTGAAAATTATCAGAATTAAGTTAAGATTTGCTTTTGCATACATTGATATGCACCTGAAAGTATGTTTGTGTTTAAACGGCATTATAGCAAACTCAAGCGATTCCACTTTTTCAGATGAAAAGTGAACAAACAAGCAATTGCCTCCACAACGTCTGAATTAAGACTGGGAAAAATACTGCTTTCTAACCCAACACACATTTGTTTCAGAACAGAGGATTTTTATTGGTATTACCATTGTGTCTTCTGGCATGCATCTCAAGGAAAAAAAAGTAGCCCTTTCCTACCCACTTCAAAAACATACTTTATCATCTCCTCAATTACACTCAGGGTGAGAGAAACTTAAACCTCTCAGTTGTGTATGTGCTGACTGCAAATTTGAAGCTGTTTTGTTCTACAGCATGTGTGCAGTGAAAACTAATTTGATTAGTGCTCAAAAATAAAGCATAAAGTAATGTAAAAATATGACACAATGTAGAATGAAACACCAGTTTACTTTTGAGCATTAATAAAATCAGTATTCCTTTCAAACTTTAAAATGCACCCTACTGAGAGAAGCTTCAACTGAAAAACAAGCGAATGAAATCACTACATACCAACACAATCTTCTTGTTTGTTTTCAGCTTGACATCTAAGACAGGCATCTAAAAGTAAATAAGAACAAGACTCAATTTGATTCTCAGGATTCCATCTTAAGAATAGGTTTGTCAGAGGAAAATATAAACTCTGAAAACAATTTACAAAGGTAATAATCCCAAGTTTTGACGTCTAGCTCAGCCCTTTAACATTAAACACCACCCCCCTAAATTTTAAAACAGTGCACATGACACTGAAATATATATCTGAAAGAGATCAGAAGGACTATAAACTGTCCAGCAAGTCTTGTTTATTTTCCATTGCTTTGGTATTTTCATAACTTCTGCTGAAAAAGAGACTTCTCCATTTTGTAGATATAACAACCCGTAGATTTGTGCCAAGGCACTCAGGCATATTAAGACCAGAGCAAGCACAAAGCCAAACCCTAATTACAGGACTTTGTTTTTCAGATGTCAGCATCTCCTTTTAAGGAAATCATTCACAATTTTGATTTTTTTTAGGCTGTACGTCTCTCACCACAACCCCCACCTCCTACTACTTTTTATGTAGTAGTTTTCCTTTATAAGTACATGCATGTAATTTTCACAAGAGTCAGGTACAGATGCAAACATATTGGTCAATTTGATAATATAAATTAATAAATAAATAAGGAACAATATCTAATTAAAAATATTTATCATCTTCATGCACTCCAGTCTGTGGCTATAGGACTGGATGGCAGGTTCAGGACTCGGTAAGATACAGAAGTGACAACTTCCAGGCTTAGTGCTGTGCCACACACATACAGTGGAAAAATGCCTTTGCTTCTCCTGCGCCCCGACATGGGCTGCTGTAGACATATGTGCACATACTACACACAATAGAAAGTGTTCAACTATTACAGCAGCAAACACATCTTCATGTCCCCCAAAGCAAAAGTAAGAGTTTAAACAAAAGCGTCCTGCAGGTTGGACCTGGCCTACACATCACTAGTTGGACCATATTTTCCTAGAAGACAGAAACATAATGTGCTACAGGAATTTAGACTTGAGTATTTTTGCTTTCTCTGCCGGATACGGCCCATACTTTTGTTCTAGATTCATTTGCCCAGACATTCCTCATTTTTCAGGTAATAAAGAACAAAGACGACAGAAACTCTGCAACAGTTGCCTTTTCCTCACTGAGATAAAAGGCAGTAAAGAAAGTCTCATGTTGCCTGTTCCTATAAGTTATATTTCCACAGCATTTAAAGGGCCAAGCTGCAGTGAAGATTGAGCCAAATTGCTTCAACTTCTATCACATACATCGAAGCAAACTGATCTGGGGTCACCTCAATATGGAGGGCAGTAAGCTGTGGCAGACTACTAGTAAAAGCAGCTTTCCTATCCTAGCCCTAGATTTGCAGTTTCAGACAGAGAAGCAGCACAGAGAGCTGAAGACAGAAATCACTGCAACCACACCGAGGTAAGCTGTCCCCACTGCTACATCATAACCCTCAGGATGTCAGTCTGAAAGGTTAAGCAAATCAAAGTCAGTATTGCTGCAGTCGTGCCCTTCCCAGCTAACACCTGCATCTTTGCTTCTTTCCCTTGCGATCCTTGAAGACCACGTTGGTTCAAGGTGTTAAACCAGTAGAAAATAAAGCCAGCTATCACCTCCCTCCCTTACAAAAATCAAACAAACTTGACTTTCAACAAGTGCCAGCTTAAGTCTGGCACTGCCTCCAACATAAGGTTACTGCAGACACAGTGACTCTACAGGAGCCAGACCGGGTCTGGCAGGGTCAACGTGAAATTGCTAAACTGAAGTCAGTAATGATCAAGTTTCATGTTCTAATAATGTGGTTTGTTCTCAAAAAATGGTTACCAGATTTTTCTGCTATTTTCAGATGAAAAGTACACCCTTGGTTTTAACTTTTATAAAAGCTCTGGGTAAGATTTTGTTCATTTAGAACTGTTTTTTAAGTGCCCTGTAACAGGCTTGCTAGAACAGGGAAATACATTCTTTAAATTATGCCTCACATGGCAGAAGCAGCCAATTTCCTATTCCCAGGGTGGTCTCAGTTCACCACATAAAAGCAGACAATCTTCAAAACATGCTTGTGCGAAAGGTGAATCTCTGACGACTTCAGTCTGGGCTGCAGACTTTTTTCCTCTAGTACACCTTTTTGTCTTTTCTGTTCCACAGAATGCTTGCAGTAAAAACATATGCAATGCTGTCATTTCTCATATATTTTGCCCCCTTTCTGTTAAGTCAAAACCTGACTGGACTTGCAGTACCATGGTTCCAGGACCTACAAAAATAAGGTGCTCTGGAGGGAATCTTGGGTCATTTGTCCTGCCAGACCGTACCAAGCCCAACTGAGAGGACAGTTATGCCCAGGATGACTCAGCACAGTAGTAAAAATTGGCTACAGACATACAGTAGTGGAAAAATTTCAAGAACTTTCAAAGATCCAAGATAAATATATTTGTAAAAGATGTCATAAAACAGTCATGCCCGTCAACGATGAGGCTGCTTTCAAAGAGATTCTCCAGATTTCAAAACCAGGTAAGCTAACCCCTTACTTTTGAACAGCTTTTTCAGTACATTCATGTATGTTAAACTGCACGAGTAACTAGGAGGCTTAGCTAAAAGTGTTGGAGACTCTGGATTAACAGATTTGGAAGATGATTTTGTATCTACATCCACAACTGCTTCTTCAAAAAAACAAGGCACAAGCAGCAGCATCACACATCTATCACTTTGGTCAGCTCGGCTGCAGCTCCGTGCTTGCGGGGTTTGCCGATAGACAAGAAGCAGGCTCCAGGAAGGAGGGGCCTTTGCGGCGGACCGGGATGGCAGGACAGCAGCCCGCCGGGCCCCGGCACAAGCTCGGCCCGCTTGGCGAGGGCCGCTGCCCATGCTGACAGGCACAGGGCCGAAGCCCCGCAGGCCCTCC